ACACAGACAAGCAAATAGAGATATAAGCGATTTTCTACTTGCGTGAATGTAACACAGACATTCGGCAGTGTATTTGCACACACATACATGCATATGGTTTTAGTGCAAAAAAGGAAAACGAGAACAACTATTGCTCATTTAACTAAAATTTTATAGACAGTACGTGTACTTAAAAATAAAAAATAGAATTTGCGCTAGAAACTAAACATAAACTAGAACTGAACTAGAACTGAACTAGAACTGAACTAGAACAGAACTAGAACTGAACTAGAACTGAACTAGAACTGACCAGAACTGAACTAGAACTGAACTAGAACTGAACTAGAACTGAACTAGAACTGAACTAGAACTGAACTAGAACTGAACTAGAACTGAACTAGAACTGAACTAGAACTGAACTAGAACTGAACTAGAACTGAACTAGAACTGAACTAGAACTGAACTAGAACTGAACTAGAACTGACTAGAACTGAACTAGAACTGAACTAGAACTGAACTAGAACTGAACTAGAACTGAACTAGAACTGAACTAGAACTGAACTAGAACTGAACTAGAACTGAACTAGAACTGAACTAGAACTGAACTAGAACTGAACTAGAACTGAACTAGAACTGAACTAGAACTGAACTAGAACTGAACTAGAACTGAACTAGAACTGAACTAGAACTGAACAAGACTGAACTAGAACTGAACTAGAACTGAACTAGAACTGAACTAGAACTGAACTAGAACTGAACTAGAACTGAACTAGAACTGAACTAGAACTGAACTAGAACTGAACTAGAACTGAACTAGAACTGAACTAGAACTGAACTAGAACTGAACTAGAACTGAACTAGAACTGAACTAGAACTGAACTAGAACTGAACTAGAACTGAACTAGAACTGAACTAGAACTGAACTAGAACTGAACTAGAACTGAACTAGAACTGAACTAGAACTGAACTAGAACTGAACTAGAACTGAACTAGAACTGAACTAGAACTGAACTAGAACTGAACTAGAACTGAACTAGAACTGAACTAGAACTGAACTAGAACTGAACTAGAACTGAACTAGAACTGAACTAGAACTGAACTAGAACTGAACTAGAACTGAACTAGAACTGAACTAGAACTGAACTAGAACTGAACTAGAAGAACAAGAACTGAACTAGAACTGAACTAGAACTGAACTAGAACTGAACTAGAACTGAACTAGAACTGAACTAGAACTGAACTAGAACTGAACTAGAACTGAACTAGAACTGAACTAGAACTGAACTAGAACTGAACTAGAACTGAACTAGAACTGAACTAGAACTGAACTAGAACTGAACTAGAACTGAACTAGAACTGAACTAGAACTGAACTAGAACTGAACTAGAACTGAAATAACTGAACTAGAACTGAACTAGAACTGAACTAGAACTGAAGAACTGAACTAGAACTGAACTAGAACTGAACTAGAACTGAACTAGAACTGAACTAGAACTGAACTAGAACTGAACTAGAACTGAACTAGAACTGAACTAGAACTGAACTAGAACTGAACTAGAACTGAACTAGAACTGAACTAGAACTGAACTAGAACTGAACTATGTATAGCAAAATTTACCTTATAAATATGCTGATTTTTCCACAAAAAATAATTTTTTCCGCCAAAAATGTATTTTAAAAACTTTTTCTGTTATTTAATTTACAAAATCTAAACCTTGTTAACAAATTATACAGAAGATCTTAAACCAATTATTTAATTTTAAAATTTTTTTTCTGTAATTTAATTTACAAAATCTAGAATCTTGTTAACAAAGTATAACAAAATATCTTAAACCAATTATTTACTAATTTGTTTAAATCGTCAATTTAAAAAGAAATCTTCTGAACCTATTAAAAACTTTAATACTTTTCTTTCTTAACATTCTGCTTAACAAGCATCCTTAATTAGACAAAAATCAGGACACGATTATACAATTTTCTAGCACAATTTATTGCCAGTAAATAAATATTATAAAAATTTATAGATAATAAACTTAAATCAAACAAGAAAATCAACTAACTAAACACACACATAACCAAAAAAAACTGTTTAACCACAAAAAGAGAAATATGTAGACGGAAAAAACACACACCCAAAAAATGCTACACACAGTGACCTAAAAATAATACATTGAATAAGAAAACAGAAGCAGAGGAAAAAGTCGAAAAAACTATATACATACATATACTATATATAAAGCCATAAAGCAGCTTATAAATATTAATGGGATTTAACGAACAACATTTTCTTAAAACTTGTGCGACGGACACAAAAATCCTAAACACACATCTTTCCAAAATATAGAGACCAAGTACCAAGCAACCGGGCGGCAAACGAGCAGCAAACAAAAAGAAAAAAACTATTACACCAATGGTCCAAGTAACCAACCAACAAAATAACATGACTTAAATTTGATCATTGAAAAACTAAAAGGATAATACTTGCAATTTTCTATTAACTCTAAACCAAAGAAGGAAAATATAAGATATAAGTAATGTTACTTAGAGAGTGAAAAATTTTCGGTGGGGAGAAATGTATAAAATAAAACTAAATTGAAAAAATGTGTAAAAAAGTAGTTATATCTTCTTGTTTAAGAAATCAATAAGCGGTACAAATGTGCTGATAAATGATTAAATTTTTAAGAATGCAATTGTTTTAGTTCAGAAATATACAAAATTATGATTAAACAGCTGATTTCGCGGCACAAAGTGAAAAATAAATATTTTTGTGAGAAACCAGTATTTGTTGTGAAAAACTGTATTATTTGAAATCCCAGTTTTTTTGCAAAACTAGGATTTCTTCTCAAGAACCAGTATTTTTGTGAAAGCCACTATTTTTGAAAAAAAAAAAAAAAATATTTTTGGGAAAAAAATAATTTTTTTTTTTTGTGAAAATACGGTATTTTTGTTTAAATTTGGAAAAAGTACATTTTTGTGAAAAAATAGTAATTTGTCAAAAAACAGCATTTTCTTTGCAACCAGTTTTCTTTTTTGGAAAATGCAGCTTTTTTTGTGGAAAACCAGTATCTTTGTCAAAAAACTGTATTTTTTTTTTTTTTTGGAAAATCCAAAGATCAAATCAGTGTTTTTGTCAAATCGGTATTTTTGTAAAATCAGAAAATAAAAGTTAACCGAACTAGAATTGCTGTTTATAATGTTTCATACCCCGGTACGCAGTGAGATTCTAACTCCATAAATATACATATTTATAATGGAGAAAAAAATCATTTAGGACATATTTTTGACAAGCACACTAGAACTAGAGCTGAAATAGTACTGAACAAGAACTTGACTAGAACGAAAACAGTATTTTTTATGAAATATCAGCTATTTTGTGGAAAACTGAACTAGAACTGAACTAGAACTGAACTAGAACTGAACTAGAACTGAACTAGAACTGAACTAGACTGAACTAGAACTGAACTAGAACTGAACTAGAACAGAACTAGAACAGAACTAGAACAGAACTAGAAACAGAACTAGAACGAACTAGAACAGAACTAGAACTGAACTAGAACTGAACTAGAACTATAACTGAACTAGAACTGAACTAGAACTGAACTAGAACTGAACTAGAACTGAACTAGAACTGAACTAGAACTGAACTAGAACTGAACTAGAACTGAACTAGAACTAAACTAGAACTGAACTAGAACTGAACTAGAACTGAACTGAACGAACTGAACTAGACTGAACTAGAACTGAACTAGACTGAACTAGAACTGAACTAGAACTGAACTAGAACTGAACTAGAACTGAACTAGAACTGAACTAGAACTGAACTAGAACTGAACTAGAACTTAACTAGAACTGAACTAGAACTGAACTAGAACTGAACTAGAACTGAACTAGAACTGAACTAGAAACTGAACTAGAACTGAACTAGAACTGAACTAGAACTGAACTAGAACTGAACTAGAACTGAACTAGAACTGAACTAGAACTGAACTAGAACTGCTAGAACTGACTAGAACTGAACTAGAACTGAACTAGAACTGAACTAGAACTGAACTAGAACGGAACTAGAACTGAACTAGAACTGAACTAGACTGAACTAGAACTGAACTAGAACTGAACTAGAACTGAACTAGACTGAACTAGAACTGAACTAGAACTGAACTAGACTGAACTAGAACTGAACTAGAACTGAACTAGAACTGAACTAGAACTGAACTAGAACTGAACTAGAACTGAACTAGAACTGAACTAAAACTGAACTGAACTGAACTAGAACTGAACTAGAACTGAACTAGAACTGAACTAGAACTGAACTAGAACTGAACTAACTGAACTAGAACTGAACTAGAACTGAACTAGAACTGAACTAGACTGAACTAGAACTGAACTAGAACTGAACTAGAACTGAACTAGAACTGAACTAGAACTGAACTAGACCTGAACTAGAACTGAACTAGAACTGAACTAACTGACTAGAACTGAACTAGAACTGAACTAGAACTGAACTAGAACTGAACTAGAACTGAACTAGAACTGAACTAGAACTGAACTAGAACTGAACTAGAACTGAACTAGAACTGATCTAGAACTGAACTAGAACTGAACTAGAACTGAACTAGAACTGAACTAGAACTGAACAAACTGAACTAGACTGAACTAGAACTGAACTAGAACTGAACTAGAACTGAACTAGAACTGAACTAGAACTGAACTAGAACTGAACTAGAACTGAACTAGAACTGAACTAGAACTGAACTAGAACTGAACTAGAACTGAACTAGTACCAAAGTTTAGAAAGTTATCATAACACGGTACGTATGATTATTTTTTATTTATATACTATCATAAATATTAAGTATACGCTGTGAGAATCTAAACCCATTATAATGGAGAAGAAAATCATTTAGGAAAAATTTTTTTTTCACAAACAATGTTATCAAGAAATATTTATACAGATATATATATATATATATAATATTTATGCAGTATTTCTGCTAAATCCGGTAATTTTCATTTCCACTTACCTAAAACTCCTTTCCGATATATCCTGTAATTCGTTGTCGATTAATTTTAAAGTTTCAACCTAAGTCCCTGAAACGTTTCATCGTCCACACTCTGTAAATGAGTATTCGACATTTCAATGTAGCGCACTGAGCTGTGGATAAATTCTGCAATTAAAGAGTTTATATAAGAAAATATTAACAAAAAATTTATATTTTATAATTCTATAGAAAATGCTCATTATAAAAAACATTCCTTTTTCTAGTAAAATATTTTTTTAATTATTTAATATAACAAAATTTAAAACAATATGCCCAAAAATTTATTTATTTGCTTAAAATTTACTAAAGTTGTAAAATAAATATTAAAGCTTTTCAAATGGCCTTGATTTTTCTATTTCTTTTATGCAAGTTAAATACCATAATGTTTTCATTTCTCTGTCTTACAATTTGCTATATTGTTGGCAATAAGATTTTCTTTTTCCCAAATTTAATTTAAACTCAAAAATATGCAAATATTTACTCTACCTCACTAGACATTTAACAGCCTCCACATTCCTGTATTTCACTTTCAAAATGCGTTGTTGATGATGAGTTTCGTTGCCTTAGAAAAATATGAAAATAAGAAAATAAGTCAGTAAAAAAGAAAGGGTAACACGAACGAAGATGAAATATATTTCAAAAATATTTTCTTTTCCACCATTTTATATTTTTTTCTTTAATAACAACTGCGAAAGACAAACAAACAAAATAGTAACAAAATATTGGATTAGAGCTTAGAAATTAGTGAAAACAGACTGGCACAAGAGCTAAAATTCAGATCTAGATTTTTTGTTCTAGATTTTTTTGTTCTGTTCTAGTTCTGTTCTAGTTCTGTTCTAGTTCTGTTCTAGTTCTGTTCTAGTTCTGTTCTAGTTCTGTTCTAGTTCTGTTCTAGTTCTGTTCTAGTTTCGTTCTAGTTCTGTTCTAGTTCTGTTCTAGTTCTGTTCTAGTTCTGTTCTGTTCTAGTTCTGTTCTAGTTCTGTTCTAGTTCTGTTCTAGTTCTGTTCTAGTTCTGTTCTAGTTCTTTCTAGTTCTGTTCTAGTTCTGTTTCTAGTTCTGTTCTAGTTCTGTTCTAGTTCTGTTCTAGTTCTGTTCTAGTTCTGTTCTAGTTCTGTTCTAGTCTGTTCTAGTTCTGTTCTAGTTCTGTTCTAGTTCTGTTCTAGTTCTGTTCTAGTTCTGTTCTAGTTCTGTTCTAGTTCTGTTCTAGTTCTGTTCTAGTTCTGTTCTAGTTTCTGTTCTAGTTCTGTTCTAGTTCTGTTCTAGTTCTTTGTTAGTTCTGTTCTAGTTCTGTTCTAGTTCTGTTCTAGTTCTGTTCTAGTTCTGTTCTAGTTCTGTTCTAGTTCCGTTCTAGTCTGTTCTAGTTCTGTTCTAGTTCTGTTCTAGTTCCGTTCTAGTTCTGTTCTAGTTCTGTTCTAGTTCTGTTCTAGTTCTGTTTCTAGTTCTGTTCTAGTTCTGTTCTAGTTCTGTTCTAGTTCTGTTCTAGTTTGTTCTAGTTCTGTTCTAGTTCTGTTCTAGTTCTGTTCTAGTTCTGTTCGTTCTGTCTAGTTTGTTCTAGTTCTGTTCTAGTTCTGTCTAGTTCTGTTCTAGTTCTGTTCCTAGTTCTGTTCTAGTTCTGTTCTAGTTGTTTCTAGTTCTGTTCTAGTCTGTTCTATTCTTTTAGTTCTGTTCTAGTTCTGTTCTAGTTCTGTCTAGTTCTGTTCTAGTTCTGTTCTAGTTCTGTTCTAGTTATGTTCTAGTTTTGTTCTAGTTCTGTTCTAGTTCTGTTCTAGTTCTGTTCTAGTTCTGTTCTAGTTCTGTTCTAGTTCTGTTCTAGTTCTGTTCTAGTTTGTTCTAGTTCTGCTCTAGTTCTGTTCTAGTTCTGTTCTAGTTCTGTTCTAGTTCTGTTTAGTTCTGTTCTAGTTCTGTTCTAGTTCTGTTCAAGTTATGTTCAAGTTCTGTTCAAATGTTCTAGTTCTAGTTCTGTTCTAGTCTGTTCTAGTTCTGTTATAGTTCTGTTCTAGTTCTGTTCTAGTTCTGTTCTAGTTAGTTCTGTTCTAGTTCTGTTCAGTTCTGTTCTAGTTTGTTATAGCTGTTCTTCTGTTTAAGTTCTGTTCTAGTTCTGTTCTAGTTCTGTTCTAGTTCTGTTCTAGTTTGTTCTAGTTCTGTTCTAGTTTGTTCTAGTTCTAGTTCTGTTCTAGTTCTTAGTGTTTCTAGTTATGTTCTAGTTCTGTTCTAGTTCTGTTCTAGTTCTGTTCTAGTTCTTCTATTTCTGTTCTAGTTCTGTTCTAGTTCTGTAGTTCTGTTCTAGTTCTGTTCTAGTCTGTTCTAGTTCTGTTCTGTTCTAGTTCTGTGTTCTAGTTCTGTTCTAGTTCTGTTCTAGTTCTGTTCTAGTTCTGTTTTAGTTATGTTCTAGTTCTGTTCAGTTCTGTTCTAGTTCTGTTCTAGTTCTGTTCTAGTTCTGTTCTAGTTCTGTTCTAGTTCTGTTCTAGTTCTGTTTCTAGTTCTGTTCTAGTTCTGTTCTAGTTTGTTCTAGTTCTGTTCTAGTTCTGTTCTAGTTCTAGTTCTGGTCTCTAGATCATCTTCATATCCTTTATTGAGTCGGTATTTCCTTCCTTTGCTGTAGAGTACTTTTGCTGTTTCAACACATAAAGGCATTTACATCTCCTATAAATGTTTAAAATATAATAACTTTTCATACAATTCATCTTGTTCTCTGTTCTTTTTTCTTCAAACTTCTCACAATTTATTTAAGATATCTTTGTTTTTTTTATATTTGTGCATTTGTTTACCCAAGAATTCCATATAAATATTTCTATTCGCACAAATTCACCCACACACTAAAGCCAAAAAACCACTCATACGCAACAAGGCTCTACAGTATATTCTTATCAGTGGTAGGCACAGGGAGAAGTTTTCAAAATGGATGAAAAACTAAACACATCTTGCTTAGATAAGAAAGTTGATTACTTCGGGTCCTTGGTGGCTAAAATTGCCGACCTCTACACTATGTCCATTCATATGTATATTTATTCATCACACATGTGGTAGCACTCTTTTAGTCAACTTCTCCTCACAACTTTTTTGTTTGATTTTATTACATTTTTGCACATTTCAGTTTTTAGTTTCTACAAATATGAATCTTAAATATTGTTTGTTATAAAACTAAAATGGCAAACAGCTGCTTTAGAAATACTGTACTAAGAAATATTTTCTAAACAAACCATAAATGCCACAATTTTGAGGTTTTTATTACTGAAAGTATACTATAGTCACTGAAGCTGTAAATAATTTTGCTCTAAATATTTTCTTTTCCTATCTTCCAGGAGAGAAAAATATTCGTTTCTATAACATAAAAATAAAGCATGATTTTAACAAAAATGTATATGTTAGAAATTGTATGCGATAAAATAAAATTTATAAGAAATATATTTTATACGAGTATGCTAATTTAGTATTTTTTGAGAGATTTTATTTCAAAGTTCAAAGAAAGTAGGAAGCAATTTAGTAAGATGTTAAAATGAATTTCAATTTTGCAGTAAAATTTATTACTTAAAATTTTTATTAATAAATTTATATTTGTATATATTGTTGCTTACTTTAAAAGTTTATTTATTAAATTTTATTTAGATATCAACAGTAAACAGTCACATAAATGGCCAAGGGAACAGACTAGAACAGAACTAGAACAGAACTAGAACAGAACTAGAACTGAACTAGAACAGAACTAGAACAGAACTAGAACAGAACTAGAACAGAACTAGAACAGAACTAGAACAGAACTAGAACAGAACTAGAACAGAACTAGAACAGAACTAGAACAGAACTAGAACAGAACTAGAACAGAATTAGAACAGAACTAGAACAGAACTAGAACAGAACTAGAACAGAACTAGAACAGAACTAGAACAGAACTAGAACAGAACTAGAACAGAACTAGAACAGAACTAGAACAGAACTAGAACAGAACTAGAACAGAACTAGAACAGAACTAGAACAGAACTAGAACAGAACTAGAACAAAACTAGAACAAAACTAGAACAGAACTAGAACAGAACTAGAACAGAACTAGAACTAGAACAGAACTAGAACAGAACTAGAACAGAACTAGAACAGAACTAGAACAGAACTAGAACAGAACTAGAACAGAATCAGAACAGAACTAGAACAGAACTAGAAAGAACTAGAATAGAACTAGAATAGAACTAGAACAGAACTAGAACAGAACTAGAACAGAACTAGAACAGAACTAGAACAGAACTAGAACAGAACTAGAACAGAACTAGAACAGAACTAGAACAGAACTAGAACAGAACTAGAACAGAACTAGAACAGAACTAGAACAGAACTAGAACAGAACTAGAACAGAACTAGAACAGAACTAGAACAGAACTAGAACAGAACTAGAACAGAACTAGAACAGAACTAGAACAGAACTAGAACAGAACTAGAACAGAACTAGAACAGAACTAGAACAGAACTAGAACAGAACTAGAACAGAACTAGAACAGAACTAGAACAGAACTAGAACAAACTAGAACAGAACTAGAACAGAACTAGAACAGAACTAGAACAGAACTAGAACAGAACTAGAACAGAATCAGAACCGAACTAGAACAGAACTAGAATAGAACTAGAATAGAACTAGAATAGAACTAGAATAGAACTAGAACAGAACTAGAACAAACTAGAACAGAACTAGAACAGAACTAGAACAGAACTTGAACAGAACTAGAACAGAACTAGAACAGAACTAGAACTAGACTAGAACAGAACTAGAACAGAACTAGAACAGAACTAGAACAGAACTAGAACAGAACTAGAACAGAACTAGAACAGAACTAGAACAGAACTAGAACAGAACTAGAACAGAACTAGAACAGAACAGAACTAGAACAGAACAGAACTAGAACAGAACAGAACTAGAACAGAACTAGAACAGAACTAGAACAGAACTAGAACAGAACTAGAAACAGAACTAGAACAGAACTAGAACAGAACTAGAACAGAACTAGAACAGAACTAGAACAGAACTAGAACAGAACTAGAACAGAACTAGAACAGAACTAGAACAGAACTAGAACAGAACTAGAACAGAAACTAGAACAGAACTAGAACAGAACTAGAACAGAACTAGAACAGAACTACTA